AGGCCCAGAAAATCCTAGGACTGCTTTGTTTGGGTCTTGTTAATTGTTGTACCTGCCTACCTACCTACTTACCTCCCTACTTGCCTCCCCTCCCCTCCCCTATTGACCTCCCCCAAGTCAGTGGCCGGTGCAGAGCCAATGACCTGATAAGCCGAGGCTTGTTCCCGAGGTTAATTTTAATTAGGGCTTGGGCCTCAGTTCAGCACGGGTATATTATATCTAGACTTTGCGTATTGAAGGATTTTATAGAGGTCGGGGTTTACAGCTTATGTCTTGGATTGTGACAGCTGCTGGAACAAACCTATACAGGAAGCTTGGGCTTCGGGACTTTAGTAGGATGGGGTTTAGATGGATGATTGAACAGCTAGAGATGCATTAGATTATGGACAAAAAGCAGGGTTTAGGGCCACTAAAGCAAGCGGGAGGCATCGGCTACAGACTTCGATCTAGACTCGTCTGAGAAGACTAGGGATGTAGCTTGGGGTTTGGGGCTTTGGCCGGGTCGGTTTTATCAGTTCCTCGATCTGGTTGTGGAGGTGACAGCTTCCGGGTCTAGGGTTTTTTTTCGCCTCCTACTTAGCAAGGATGTGATTTAGGCTAGGGGTTTAGGGCCTAGGGTTTAGGGTTTGGGTTTGTCCGGTTATGTAGTCTGGGCTTTCAGGCCTATGGGTTGTGCAAGGATTGTGCTGTTAGTCGGCCCTACATCGATAAACACAACCAAGATTCGCAGTGCCCTTCATAAACTTGGTCCCCGTGAAGACCTTCTTGCCCCGGGCGTCGTGGTGGCGTTCTTAGCTTGCTAACACGGTATCTACTCGCGGTAGGCACACTCTCGAATATATTGCAGGCCTAGCTTCCCACTGTTTTCACAGTTGCAGATCGGCGTGCTTCTTTGGTGAGGCGACCANNNTGAATTTGAGTAAACGACTGATCTCTTGGGGCAAGATCCACCGTGGTGTAGCATCCAGAACCTCTGTTCAAATACCTGGGACCAGATATGATCGAGGCCCTACAGCGACTTTATATGCAAATCCCAAAGCCAAGGTACATATGCAATCTTATTCCTCAACCAGTCGAATCTGGGGTGGAAAGCCAGCAGCGAGCACGACGGCTGTTCCACCAGGAAGATGGTGTGTCTGGCCAGCATTACCAGTATCAGGGCCACCAGCCTTACAGGTGTGAGAGAGAACGGATAAATACAAACGGCAGAACAACCAAACCGTGCATGCGTGTGCATTTATTGTGCGACAAGACTCCGAGCAACCATGCAGTTGGCCCTGCTCACGAATGGTATTGCTTGACGGCCCAGAACATTGATCATGGATCGTTTAGACGTTCCACGAGCCGGGACACCCCAGCTTCCACACTCTGGCCCAGCCAGATTGACAGCATCGACACATTCATGTAGAACCACCCATAAGGCGAGACTTGGACGGGCAATGCAACACTAGCTTTACGTGTGTGTGCCAAATTCAAAATCGCATTCCACGTGCTAGCGAGCTACACGAACCCGGCAGGAGAATTAAAATCCATTGCCTTCCCATTGATGTTCCAATCGTAGGTGGCACACTTGTAGCCGCGCTTTGTCCTGAATTGCAAGAACGATGTTTAGCTATCTTCATACGACTGCAGGTTCACGATCGAGTATATATGCAGCTAAGACACCACACTCGCGTTGCATTACCAGTACCCGCAAACAAGTCAAAGAACTGGAAAGAGCCCGTGTGGCCCAACCGAGGCGACCGATGCCACCCAATCAAAAGAACGATAGCGATAAGAATCTGGGTTGCAGGGATCAGCTCGCCATCTTATAAAGAACCCCTAGAGAGACCGCCCTAGACGCTAATTAAATTCAGGGCTTTCGGGGCCAAGAGTAGAGCCAAGGGCACTTTTGGGGCACCCACCTGAATCAAGTTTGCGACCATGGACTCTTCCATTGTTGCTGTAGCTGCAGGCTATCTGACCTCTACACCGGGACCCTTCTGTCTCGATCCAACAGGAGGCTGGGCAACTTTGCTCGTACCGAAGCTGCGTTGGTCATGACAGCAGCACACAAGTCTTGAACGGGGCAGTAGCACATGCTGGCCTGAGTCATCCGAATCAGAGAACATAGCCCAGTTCTCTGCATCCATATCGCGGCATGTACCTGTGTTGCAGTGACACCGTGCGGCAAGTGATAGGCAGGCTCAAATGAGTCTCAATACCGCGTGCGGCCAATCGAGAGCATCATGTATTCTTTTCGATCTGCGTGACGAACTACGCATAGCTCACTGATTCACCCCGTAGAACCCTTCTAGGGATGAGAGACTTTGAAGACAGAGCTGCGTGGACAATTGCATGCAGCTTGACAAAGCTAAGGCTAGTAAAGCTTGTGTGGGAAAAGCGCATGAAGCGGATGTCGGGACCCAGAGTCATTGGAGGACTTTGCACAACTAGCACACACGATCTAGCAGCAATCCTCAACATGCGTGCCCACACCCTAAGCAAATTGGCATAGAACCTGGCTCACACCCACGAACGGCCGCGACTGAGCTACTCGGTGTCCTTGTAGGCCTCAGATGAGAGTGCAGAGTCAGGTGTGTATGTGAGCTTATGCATGCATACGTGTGACGTATGAATAGCCGACAAGAAACCTGCTTGGCCTTTTCGATGGCCTTGTCCTTCGTCATGCCGGCCTTCAACCATTTTGCCAGGGTCGTGTGGTAGGCCGTGGACTTGCGGCTCTTCGCGAATCGCTTCTCGATCTCAGCCTTCTCTTCTGCAGAGCTGGCCTGGGCAATCTCCTTGTTCCACGCGACCCTCTTGCCACGGCCACGGGGCTTTGCTGCATCATCCGCTTCCGGTCCAGCAGCCTCATCAGCTCCGCGCTTTGGCACCCTGCGTGCCCCCTTGCCGGTCTTGCCCGACTGAGGAAGCTCCTGGGCTTCAACCTCAGCCGTCTTCCTGGATTTTGGCAACTTCAACGGCTTTGCCGCCGTTTCGTCCTTGCCATCAACCGGCTCCGGATCCCCAGTGGCCTCGGCACCCTTGGCCTTCCCTGTCTTGCCACCACCAGACTGCTCCTTTGCATTGCCGGGCTTAGCCGCCTTGGCCTTTCCTTTGGCCTTTGGTTTGGCAACAGCCTTGGCTTTTGCCTTGGCTTTTGCCTTCGCTTTCGCCTTCGCTTTTGCTTTGGCCCTGGGCCTAGCAGAAAGCTCCGGCTCCTCACCATCATCGTCCTCTGCCTCTTCGTCGTCACCATGTGGATCCTCGTCTTCGTCGTCATGGCCAGACGTCTTGGCCTTCTTGGCGGCATTGATGGCAGCCGTTTGCTCTTTGGGCGACATGTACGCCACAGCGTCATCATGGCTTGAGGCTTTCTCCAGCCTTCCCGCTGGGAGCCCTGGCTCTTCGGCCCCAAGATCACTCGAAGCACCACCGCCAACACCAGGTGGTGGCGGCGTGGCAAGGTTTGCCACCGCCAGCTCGTTGGATTTCAACAAACACGGCTTCTTCGAGGCACCGTCGGTCGAATCAGGCAGTGGCCTCTTCCTGCCAGCTTCTTCAAGCTGGAGACGTGTGCCGTCCGACATCGGGGACTCGCGCTCAGTCGGCGTGATAGACTCGGACTCTGCAGGGGTCGGGCTTGGCAGGACCAGCTTTCGCGGCTTGGGAGGGGACAGGCATGGCGATGCCACGAGCTGGGTCTCGACATTGTCCATGCAACCTGGGCGGGGCTTTGGGATGGCTGCGGGGACTCATGCCTAAGTCTAGCACGAAGCTTTCTGTCCAATCCAAGAAACCGGGCTTTGAAGGCTTTGAGGGCTTCCCGTCCTCCTGGCTTTCAATAGCCTGTATCGCGGCTGCCTTGACACGTGCGAGCTCCCTTTTTCGCTCATCCATGACTTCCTTCTTTTTCATTTCGAGCAATTGCTCGAGATAGAGCGTCTCCTCCTGCAGATCCCTCAGAAGCTTAGTTTTCTTTCTGAGATCTGCGTGCTTCGGCTTGGGGGATTCGGCCTCATCGTCCGAATTGAAAACGATCTCCACACAAGGCAACGGGCGGATAGCTGAAGGGTCTTGGCCATACAGCTTGCATTTCCCACAGAAATATCCAACCGTGCGGCTCTTCAGCAGCACATGCTGTTGGGTTTTCTTTTTGGGGTTGGCAGCCTTCTCGGCCGACATGGTGTCCGCATCCAATGCCGTAGGTCCTGATCATGAGAGTAAAGGTACCGTGTATACACGTACAGACACACATGTGTATTACATGCGAACCAAGACGAACATCGATGGAGTCTGCATGTGTGTCTATGTCTGTCCTCGGGCAGCAGGCGTATGCACGGACGGTGGCGACTCTGGCTTACCTTATCGGAGCAAGTGTCGCTTGGCTGGAACTAGCACCCCAACAACGACCAACCATAAGCATGCTAGATCAAAGACAAAATACCGGGGCCAGCTGGAGCTGCAGAGTGGTCCATGGTGCGAACACTACCAGCCACGGACGGAGCCTAGTGGTCTAGTTGCTATTCAACAAAAGTGCAAGCTGCATGCACAAATGCGTATAATGTATCTAGGCCAGCAGCTGTCGACCCAGCACACGTCGTAGCTGGACACTTTGAATCGGACTCGGACTCAGAGTCAGAACTGGAGCCACACTCATCATCGGATTCATCACCATCATCAGAACTATCCGAGGAACTTCGTTTGGAAGCTTTTCGTGAACAACCTTGATTCGATCGAAGCTTGAGAAGTACTAGCTGTCTGTTTTTCTGGCATGTGCATTGCATCCACAAGCACGGCCCAGGCACTTGGACGCGGAATTCCCGCTGCTTCGAAAAGTTTCTGCATGCCCACTTGACGTGGCCAGTGGGGTCTCTTGGCGCTCCGAGCAAAGGTGCTTAGTAGACGACGGAGTTTCCATCCTTCTTGCTTGATGCGGTTCCCTTACATGTTTGTCAGGCTCGTGAACAACGTATAG